CTCTCAAAGATTATCAAGAGCAGCCTTGCAATGACTTTGGTCAGCTCCTCAGCACTTGTGGCAGCATCCATCCCATTGGGGCCCATGGACTTGTGTATGTCCAGTTTGTCCCTAACCTGATCCTCTTCCACTGCGGATAAGTCTTCCTTGCTCTAGACTTTCCCACTACTCTCAGGGGTCTGGGATTCCTAAAAGCCTGCTTTAGCAGTAAAGACCAAGGTGAAGGTGGCAATAAGTACCTTAGCCTTTTCCATTTCCCTTTGTTACCAGGTCCCCCCCACCCCCCAACCAATTCAGCAGTGGGCCCACATTTTCGCTAGTTTTCCTTTTGCGGCTAGAAAAACTGTAAAGAAGTATTAGAACTGTTCTGTAAACGTGCAGACCAAATTCTCCTAAGTAGTCCTGCATTTTTCAAAGCATATTTTTAAAGCTAGTGATAGAATATGCCTGAGCTCCATAATGTAGTTCAGAGGCACCAGACGAACAAATCATTGTATGTCCTCATAGATCTTTGGGCACCTCGTTTAATACTTGCTCTATTTGATCTATTTTGAATCTGTAGCAGGATATGCATGATCCTTGCCTGATGAAAAACATCACAAACAATCTAGATACAGTCCTAAATCATATTTTCTTAGCCATGTGATAATAGCACGTCCTTATGTAGAAGTCTTGTTTCATACTGGTCATTTCAGCCTCACTAGGACATTATTTGGCACTTTTTCTTTTTGTCTGTGGCAAATAGGTATATTGATGAATAATCCTACTTTGAAAGATGCAGTTTGATATCAGGCTGTTTATACCAACTATTTGGAAGTATATACGGACTGTTTGCTGAAGTGAATACCGAAGGCCTGGAAGATGAACTGTGGGATGAATGCAGTGCTGACAAGGAAAATTAAGGACTCCCTTAATAATATGGCATGTTTCTTAGAATACTCAGCTGGGACTCAGATACCAGGACTGTGTTTTCAGCTTTTTCACTGACTGTCTCAGTGTTTTTAGAAGATAACTTGATTTCAGTATGCCTCAGTTTCGCCATCTGCAAACATAATAATGGTACTAGGCAACTTTCTGAAGTGCTTTCACATCTACTGATGCTGTATTATATTATACAGAGACATATAATACAAAATATTATATAACCACAGATATATGGATATATGTTCACTGTAATGCTCTAAGCCTTTGTATAACAGAATATATGGAGATATACATATTTCTATGTAGAATATTTTTTGATTTAAGATTTCTGGAGAAGGTCTAGAGATGTTCTGCAAGACAAGTAGATGATTTTCATTTCTAGAATGCTTATATGAAATGGCCTCATGAGGGTGCATACATGCAACTCTCACATGTGACTGAAAGCACCTATTATCAGTCTTTATAGGTAGAAAAGTTGAAATGGCTGTTCTATCAAACATGTGGCTACTATTCCGCCAAGTGAAAAAGGAATAGTTTCTTGTAGTGCTATAGTCATAACGATAGTTGACTATTAAATAAATATGTTTCAACCACTTTTGAACTGAGCACAGGAAAAACACTGGAAAATCGTATTGCCTTAGAGCTCAAGATATAGGCTCAGTGATATCCTTGGATGAACTTAATGCTGAATGAGTTGGATTCTTCTACAGTATGGAATTGTTCTTATGAAAGAAACAGATTTGGAATCTGAAATTTAGAGAAATCATTTTAGTTCTGAGGGAGCCATTAAGCCAGTGGTTATCCATTAGATGCAGAGCTTGGGACATATTTCCATGTTGATTTGTGTTTCGATCAGTTATGGATCCACAGTGCTATGCCTGGACCTGCTAAGCAGCTTGGCCTTACTGTGGGCACAGCGTCAGGAGGCACTTCTAGCAGGAAGAATTTGATCTGCGCACACACTAAGAAGCCTATGTGGGCAAGCCCTCACAGAAAAACAATTGTTCTTCTTCCTTATCAAAACATAATATTTATCTTTTGGCACCTCATACATATCTTTTATAATCAAGAATTCTTTTTAATTTTTCTATG